GTTCGGACCTGTACGAAATGGCTGCCGACGCCTCTGTTAGGGTACATCAGCACTTGATCAAAGGTCATTAGCGTGGCATCGCGGACCTACGCCTTGTTACTCGTAAAGCCTCGAGCCAGGCGGTTTCCACAACAGTAGTACAGTGGTGCCGAGCAGCCCAATCTACGAGCATTTTACGTAATTAGCGAGTCACTAGCCGAAAATGTGTTTCGCCTGACGAGTTTCCGCTCGGTTAACGAGTTGTTAGTGCGTGTGTGCCTGTGTCTGCCGTTGAGTCTTGCTCTGATGGCGTAGGTCCTCGGTCACCTGCAGCCAGTCAGTGAACTTATGCAGTTTGATTGGCTGCGTTTCGTAAGACGAGCGTTTTACATGACGAGCTCGGTGCCAGAACGGATTAGACTCCTTAACCTAGGCTCCGCTGTATGTCTTTACTTTACAAAAAAACTTAAACAAATTTAGGTGGATGTGGATATCGTTGTAGTTAGCAGCCCTACAACAGCCAGTTCGACCTACAATAAACTCTCAATGAGGATGGCTTTGCCAGTCTATCCTCACTAAAGAACTGAATGCGAGTGCATCCATTCTTCTATAGGTTTCGTGTAAAGTATAAGCAGTCGTTTTCGTTCCCTTTGCTTTTTTGTTTCTGATGCCGGAGACGGTTTCCAGGTCGTCGAAAAATTCAAGCATGGGACGGGGCTGATGCCGACTGCATTTTTAGTGTTTTTTTAAAAAATATATTTTATACCTTCCGGTTGTGCCTATAGTTGTCTTCTTTTTTTCGTTTTACACCCTTGCAGCCCTCCAAAAGGAGCGGAAATCTACGTTTTCAATTTCGGCAAGGGAAAGATTACCTACGAACAGGACGAACCAGGTAACTGATTGGCTCTCGACACATTTTGTAACACTGGGTTCTGCCGCCCGCCTGTGCACCATTTAGTTATGTCGGCCATGCGTTCTCTTAAGACCTATCTTGTAGTGCATTTCTTCACATCTTAATGTGATTAATCTCCTCAACATTTTCGCTTTATTTCAAGCTTGGCAGTGGGAAACCACCCACTGGCAGTTTTTTTATTGGCGTAAAAGGTGCGCCTTCGTGATTACAAAATGCCAAAACTACCTAGTATTGTCGCCGAGAGCCTCAGCACCCGGCCTCCGAATGTTTGGCGTTCAATGTTTTTGGCTTGCATGTGAACCCAGCATAGTACTCCTTTTTGATAACCGGTTCCTTGGGATTTCTGTTCTGAAATTTATGTCCGTAGTTGTTTCGCTTGCACTCGATTCGACAGAATTTCATTGTGCTTTCCGTAATATTTCCAGTCCCTGGATATTTAACTGAGGTAATTCCATTCAAACCCTTTCGAACATATTACGTATTCACTAATCGTCGCCTGCATTTACTTCTGACCACAGATTGGGGCCTGATAAGAAATGCAGGCAATCTCAGTTTCGACGAAGGCGGTCAAAACTCTCGTGACGTACCTAAATGGGACATGTCTGTCAACGTGAGCAAGGACTTTCTGCTGGCCTACGGACCTTGGGCTGATAGGCAGAGGTAATCACTTTTCATTTCATACTACGTCCTACAGTTGGAGTTGGCCTCAAATTTCTAATGAACATTTGACATTGAGGTAGATGATCCCAACAGAATGCATGATCAAATAGGCTGGCTTTGGGAGTTAGCGAGCAGGAAATATGCTTTATCAACCAAAACCCACCGCTAATTGTCGTCTAATGATACACTGCTAAGCACTTGATATGATCGTGGACTCCGTTGTCCCGAGCCTTTACAAGGTCGATTAGTTCGCATAGTAGGCACACACACACACCCCCCTCTACCGTAGCTGTGAAACATTCAGTGCGTTTACATGTAACCCATAGTAGAACGGCCTCCGTGGAGGGTCTCTTGAGAAATAAATAGCTCTCGTGTCTTCAACGCCCTTGATTTTGTCCTGGCATTAGTCTATGGCGGAAGAGAGGGGGAGATGGGGCTGTTCAGGTGTCTCTCCCTCTCTCATTGTCATCCCTATGCCCAAGACAGCAATGGGAGCGATGGACATACTGACCTACAGACCTGGTAGGAAACTGTGTGTCTACTGAATTTCTCCACAAGTCAGTGGAGCCTTGCCTATTGCGTTAGTTGTACGATTTACCATAAAAGTGTCCCACGTTTTCTGTAGGTTTTGCGAATTAGGAACCATTATTGTTTGGTTACGTGGAACTTAATATATGTTAACAACGGATAAATTCTTATTTTATATCCTCGAGTTTTCATTCCATCTTCCGGATTGCTCGTTAGGACCTCAATCCCACCTTTTCTATCCCTTTGAACCGCTCGTCGCACCGATGATAAAATTTCATCTGGCCCACATAGTTTATTTAAAACCCATCCAACTCCATATGCCATTTGCCGTTGGAACGCTTGCAGGGTTCATTACTGCTTCTCACTTTCGATGGTTTATCTGCCGGAATAGATTAGCATTGCTTCTGCGTTTAGGAATGACCTTAACTTTAGCATGAGTTGGTCATTTGGAGCGAAATTTGCACAGCATGTACCTCTGTCTCCCTAAACCCCGCACATTCCCCTGGTAAGGCAGAATTAAAACGACTGGGTTTGAACAGAAGGGCAGTATTCGTCAGTATTCGCCCTCTTTTTCTCGTGCCATAGACTTGCTTGCTCCTGCGCCGATAGATCTAGACTTCACTCATCCGAATATCGTATCGGTCGGAGTTTGTGTAAGGGAGGACCAAGAAGGAAGCGTTGTAACACCTACCTGCAGAGCAAAGAACGTCGCTATGTCGCCAATTAGGAGCTGTCCACTCGAGGACTTTTAGCACGCCGTACTATTTCAAAGTCGTCCTTATTTGTTTTTTTTTCTAGTGAGGAAAGATAGTATGAGATCAACTCACAACCTCTCTCTCTATCTTTTCTCTACTATGTAGTGATGACTAGGTAATGTGACGAAAGCTCACGTTTTTCAGGCGCCACACTCTAGTGTTTGAGTCTCCGCTGAGATCTGACGCGATTGCGTTAAACGTGATCCTGCCCAATCGTTCACTTGCACTCACCCCGAGCACGTGGACAGGACTTCCACCTCCCCATTTCAGACGGAATATAG